GTGAAGGGTGACACAACCTGGGCAGGGGACTCCAAGGCCTAAGGCACACAGCTGCATTTATTAAGCAAAAGCCTATGGCACACATGGGGCTAAGTTAGCTAATTTCCTCACCAGAGAGGTTCTTTTTTTTTTTTAAAGATTTATTTATTTATTTATTTATTTGAGAGGTAGTGAGACAGGTACAGACAGTGAGAGGGAGAGATAAAGGTCTTCCGTTGGTTCACTCCCCAAATGGCTGCAATGGCCAGAGCTGTGCAGATCCAAAGTCAGGAGCCAGGAGCTTCTTCTGGGTCTCCCACATGGGTGCAGGGGCCCAAGGACTTGGGCCATCTTTACTGCTTTCCCAGGCCATAGTAGAGAGCTGGATTGGAAGAGGAGCAGTCAGAACTAGAACTGGCGCCCATATGGGATGCTGGCACTGCAGGTGAATGATTAACCTACTACACCACAGCGCCAGCCCCCAGAGAGGGTCTTGACCCCCCTCTCCCAGGAGGAAATGGGTTTGGGTGTTGGGTACTTGCTAGGCTCCTGAATGGAGGACAGGGGGAAGGAATTGGCCTCAGTAATTAGGGTATCACTTGGGATACCCACATCCCATGGTGGAGTGCCAGCTCCCCTGCTTTAGATCCAGCTTTCTGCGAATGAGCATCGTGGGAGGCAGCAGGTAGTGTCTCATGTACTCATGGAGCTCCCAACTCCTGAGTTTTGCCTGGCCCAGCCTCTGGCTATTATGGGAAGATGGAGAGTGAACCAGTAGATGGAATAAACCTTTCTCTTTCTGTTTTTCTTTTCCTTTCTCTTTCTCTCTGCCCTTCAAATGCAATGAAAATAAAGAAAAAGAATAGAGATCAAGGGTTGAGCACTCTAGGTGGGAGGACACAACCCTAGGGCTCTAAGAAAGGACAATGTAGGGGAGCTGGTGGCACCATCGGACCTCATACAGGAGTGATTGAGCTGGGGAGAGTCTGGATTCATGACCACAGTTTCCAGGAACACCCAGGGTGGCCTTCCTAACAGGGCAGCCATGGGTTCTGCCCTGAAGACATACTGGGGGGGATATGTGGGCACCACTACTGTATGTGTATGTGTGTGTGTGTGTGTGTGAGAGAGAGAGAGAGAGAGAGAGAATTGAGGAAGGGGCAGCCACCATGCCCAGTAGCCCTGAATGATTCAGAACATGGAGTGGGCTGGGATAGTGGGCTCTCCAGTGATACCCCAGTCCTTCCCATGCACTGGATCTGTGCTAACTGAATCACAGTCACCATCCTTGGCCAAGAAGTGTATCTGTGTGAGACTTCCCCCAAACTCTCAAAACTGCCTCTGCACTCTTGTTACCCTCTGTCTTTCACTGTACCTTCCCCACCATAGCCCACACTCCCCTGCCTCTTCACTCAGAAGGCAGTGGTTCCCTGGAAACTTGGGGCTTTACTCTTGTGCTCCCACATCACAAGGCAATAAGATCTCCCACTTCCAAGCAACTGCAGAGAAGTCAGAGGCTTAAGTGCCGCTCCCTTGCCCGCAAAGGAACGACACTGTTCGCAGCTTATCAGTCTTCAGCAGACTTTTAATGGGAAAATAACAGGGACAGTGAAAGAATGAAAGGAGGAGAGTGGACAGGAAAGCCCCATCCTTCCTCAGCACACAGCTTATATACAAAATCTGGCCAATTGCAAGCGGGCTCAAGTCCATGCACGGAACACTCCAATCCGCTGTCTGTTCACGCAGTGTGCACGCGTCCTCGGGCCAATCAGATGAGGTGTCACGCAGCAGGCAGGCTCACCGCGCGGTCCTCGGCGCCATCTTGTTGTTTACAACATTCTCAACTCCTCTGGAACGTCCCGACCGTGGGAAAGCATTGCCCTAACTGAAACTAGCAACATTCGCCTTGTGATAAAGACACAGCAACAGCTATCAGACCGACCTTGACGTGGGGGCTCCATGGCTGCGCATCCCATGGAGCCCCACATCTCCCCCTTCTTTATTATTTAAATGGCATGGAAACGTGCCTGTCTTAGGTACCCAATGGCACGCTACCTGCTTACCCGTCATGGAGGTAATAGGAAGCCTGTCCTACCCTCTGTCTTAGGTTGCTAGGAGCGCCCATCAGTGTTTACCCGTCTTTGACTACCGCTCCATCATGCTAAGCCATACTTCTTTATTGGGGTGAGATCGCAAGGTGGCCAGCATAGCCTGTTGGATTATCAAGTTGGTATTCTGCTGACGGAGTGCTAAGGCTCTGATCCATCTGGCTATGAAGGCAAGGCCCAGTAGTACCATGACAAACAAGCAACCGATAGTGACCCATTCTTTAACTTGAGCCCTGTCTTAGGTAGGTACAGGATGTGGAGTGCCTTACCCATTTTTGAGTACCATTTTAGCCCAACATTAGGTGAGAGATGAAACATACAGCCAAATATTAATTATTTTTGATTACAAAGGAGGTTTGGTACAAAGTTTTAAGTGATGAATGTCAGTCCATACAGACTGTAGTGAAGATAGCACAAATTGTAGAACACATGGAAAACATCCCATACAAAGTATGAAAAGCAGTAACAATCCAGCCCGCATTAATAACCAACGAATCCATTGAAACCCTTCAAATGTTAGTGGGTTAGTAACAAACATATGTTGCATTTTACTCTTAAGTTTATCCATAACAGACTCTATATATGGCATTGTTAGTAATGTTAAAACAACATTCCCCTGGAACAGATTTACAGCTTACATGATCTTTTAACAGCAAATAATCGATAGCTGCTCAGTTTAAGAGTACTCCTGAATGAACTTGATCCAATTCTTCAGCTATATTGGATAGCACAGTAGCAGTAAGATTGATTGTTTTGGTCACCAAACGTGTAAGCCTTTGTAGTCCACGATTATTTCCATAAACCAATCCAGGAACTCCCACTAGCTGCATAGCCATGGTGAAAGCAAGTCTCCAATTAAGATGACATCATCATCACAGTTCTCATGTAATGAGCGTCACTGTCGTGCCTTTGGAAATACAGATGTTAGCATTGGGGCCACACGGCCCAATGAGCAGTTGTGAAAATCATTAGGGGCTAACAATGTAAAAGCAAATTGGTTGCATAAAAATACCCATCCCTTAAGAGCCCATGTCCCATACCAGTACTGGATCAGGTCCATTCCATTGATTGGTGATAGGATCCTTTCATTTTACCATTGTTCTTACCCCAGCTGTTTGTGGATGCCACTGTTGAATAGCTGCAAGACAACCATCTTTATCCAATGTGAAAAAATTTAAAATGAATAAAGCACATGAGAGCCATTTGTTAGGAGAATGGGCAAGAACCCTAAACTCCCCCTTTTGTTTATATCATTAAAATATTGTTTTAAAGTGTTATGTGTATGTAGAATATTGTCTTGACCCTGAGGATTATAAGGAATGTCAGTAACATGAGATAGAAAGTTACACAAAAATTTCTAAAAGAGGCAGAAATATAAGCAGGTCCATTATCCATTTTAATCTGCTTTGGAGTTCCTAGGGAAGCAAAAGCTTGTAAGCAACGGGCAATAACATGTCTTGTAGCTTTACCTGTATCTAAGGAAGCAAAAATAAATTTAAAACAAGCATCAATAGACACATGTACATATGTTTGTTTACCAAATTCCATGAAGTGGGTGATATCCATTTGCCATAGTTGATTGGGGGAATAAATCACGAGGAATAATGTGAAAGTGAGGTACTGGTAACTGGATGGAGCAAGTAGAACAGAATTTTACAATTTGTCGAGCTTGTTCTTGAGTAATATTATGTTTTAAGTGTAACGTATGAGCATTTAAATGATGTAAAACGTGATCTTTTGTTGCTGTAGCAATAGAATATATGCATAGAGCAGAAGCTGCCAAATGATTACCCTCTACCAATGGTCCAGGAAGATTGGAATGTGCTCGAATATGACCTATAAAGAAAGGACAGGTATGCTGTCGAATGACAGTGCAAATGCAAGAAACCAGAGGAGAAGCAGCTGAGGATCCAGGAAGGAATGAACAAGTGTCCAATTGAGGCACTGATAGGAACACATATTTGCTATTGGTGTATATGTTAACCGCTACATCCAAAGTAGACCGCAATGCAAGTGCAACAGCAACTAATTCAACTAGCTGTAGAGATGAAAAAGAGGTGTTAATAACTGTATGGTGACCATCACAAATTACAGAAGCTTGACCTCCTTTTAGGATATTGAATAAAGGTTTAAGGTCTCCTGTTGTGAGGTGGAGATGTGCAGAAAGCAAATTAATATTCCCTAGAAGTTTTTGAAACTTATTTAAAGTCTGTAAAGAATCCAATTGTAAGGTGACTTTTTGTGGAAGTATTTTTCATGGGTACAATTGGAAGCCTAGATATTGATAAGGATATTGAAGTTGCATTTTCTCAGGGGCTAAGATAAGACCAAAAGTAGATGATTGCTCTTTCATTACTGTTAGACATTGCATCTCCAAAAATTCCTCAGGTCCAGCTATTAAAATATCATTTATATAGTGTATAATATATAAATTGCTATATTTTTTGCAAATTTTTTGAAGAGCAGCATCAATGAATTGTTGGCACAAAGTAGGGCTATTAGCCATTTTTTGAGGTAAGATCCTCCATTGACATCTTTGTATAGGTTTTTTTAAAATTTACTGATGGAACACTGAAAGCAAATCAGGGACAATCTTCTGGATGTAAAGGTATAGTATAAAAATAATCTTTTAAATTTATTATTGTAATATAAGAGTCCCTTGGAATTGCAGTAGGCAATGGTAAACCTGGTTATAAAGCCCCCATAATTTCCACAGTAGCATTAACAGCCCTAAGGCCTGGAAGCAATCGCTATCTCCCAGATTTTTTTCTGATAACAAAAATGGGACTATTCCAAGGAGAATTAGAAGGAACTATATGTCCTGTTGTTAATTGTTCTTTCACCAATATCTGTGCAGCAGTTATCTTTTCCTGTAGTAAAGGCCACTGATCCACCCACACGGGATTATCTGATTTTTATTTTATTTAATTTTTTGCATGAGGCACAGGCTGACCAGTAGCCATCAAGGGAAACCCAAGCCTCTCTGGTCATGATTGACAGTTACAGTAACTGGAGATGTGATGCTTTGTTGTTGTTTCTCTAAACCCTTACCTGGCAAATGACCTTGTTGAAGTATGTTAATGGTAACAATCTTACTTGGACTATGTATGAAAGCCCCCATTTGAGTTAGAATATCACGTCTCCATAGATTAACAAGTAATGCAGCCAAAATATAGGGGCGACAGGCTCCAGCATTACCTGATTCATCCTCCCATTGCAGCAATTTGGAACTTTGTGTTAATCTTTGACTCCAACCAATACCTTGCAATTGAGTTATGGTAATTTTCTTTTTTTCCAATTTGTGGGCCAGCTTGCTGCTGAAATAACAGAGACATCAGCTCCAGTATCTAAAAGACCACTGAATAACTTTTTATTTAATTTTAAGAAAAATTTTGGGTTGGTCCTTAGTTATGGGTTGTATTCAATAAGCATTAGAAGATCCAAAACCGTTATTTTCTCTTTTATTTAAAAAAGACCTACCAATTGAAGAGAAGGGGAACAGAATCAAGTGAGCAATGCATTGTCCTGGAGGTAAAGTTACATTATTGCCTTGAGTCATAATTTTTATTTCACCAGTAAAGTCAGCGTCTATAACTTCAGGAAAAACCTGTAACCCTTTCATAGTTATACTACTTCTGCCCAGTAGGAGACCAAAAATCCCAGTTGGCAAAGGACCAAAAATCCCAGTAGGGAGGCCTTGTGGGCCCATCTCAGGGGTCAATACTGTATAGGAGGTGGCACTGAGGTCCAGTCCTGCACTACCCTCTATGGCTCCGTGGAGGAAATTGATGGATTTAGGGTGTTCTGTTGGAGAATAAATGTCATGGCCCCCAAAATTTGTTGGGATGGGGCCTGGGGCCAGCCCCACTTTTAGTTTTCTGAACTCTATTTATTTAATGGATTATCTTTTTTATTAGTTTTTGGTGTGACATTAATTGGCCCAATGCCTTTCCCTTTAGCACCAGGGGCAAATCCCAGGAGGAGGGGCTTTTTTGATGTTTGACTTTTGGACAATATTTGTACATGTCCCTGCTGCCCACATTGATAGCATCCTCATTTATTAGGCATAGCCCTCCTTGTTGATTTTTGTAATGACATACCAAGCAGAGTGGCAGGTCCTGAATGTTCTGTTTTTTAAATTAATTTATTTTGTTAATTTTTTATTAAAGGGACTGTTACAGAACACCTCAGCCACAATAGCCAATCGATTCATATCTGCGTTGTACTCATGTTTTGTAGAATTTACAGTACTATGGGCATTACTAAGCAATTTTTACACAGCACCAAAAAATGATCCATACTGAGAATTAAACATCATTAGTAGTCATCACCCGCATGTTCAACATCCAGCATGACTGCGTGTTCCCCCGGGATGGAACAGCAGCAGCAGAGGCTTGCTCTGGCTTCCCCTTAAAGCCCCCAAGGACAAGGGTGGCTCATTGCCAAGATCTTAGGCAAGCAGTGCGTCCCATCCCGGATCTTGGCCAGAGAGCCGAGACACGAAGCATGCCCACCTGTTTATCAGAAAACATTCCTTTATCCCCTCCCCAGGAGCTGGCCAGGCTCCCAAGCAGCAGGAGAAGGTCATCCGGCAGACAAGTTACTTGTTTATCAGAGCCAAACTGTGGGGAGCAAACCGGACTAGACTGTTACTGGAATTAAGACTTATTCTATGCATCTGCTCTCCTACAATATGGCGCTGGGAGAGAAGAAAGAGGCTTCTACACAGCTGCCTCCAGTTCAGCCAATAAACTGTAGGACTTGCTCCTGATTGGAGAGCAGCGTACTCGGCGTGTGGGCAGCCGAGTTAGGATTGACGGAGGAGGACTATAAAGGAGGAGAGAGATGGCATGCACCAGGGAACATCTAAGGGGAACATCTAGCTGAAGGAACACCTGTGCAGCCCCCGAGAAGAGCCGGCCGGCGGTGTGCCGCTCCCCTGCGGAAGTGGGGAATGTGGCCAGGGGGAACTGCCCTTCCACGGAGGTGGAAGGGATAGTAGCCAACCCGGGAAGAACCAGCAGCAAACCCGGGGAGGGCCGAGCAGACGAAAGAACAGCGCAGGGTCCTGTGTCGTTCCTCCACGAAGAGGGGGAGCGACATAATGGTGCCGTGACTCGGATATGAAGCCTAGGCAGGGTTTAGTGTTGCTCCTCCATGAAGAGGGGGAGCGACATAATGGTGCCGTGACTCGGATAGGAAACCTAGGACGGATAGGAAACTTAGGAGGGAAGAAACGGGAAGAACTGGGAAAATATTGGAGAGAGAGACTAGCAAACAGCCTAGGGAAATTACCGGAGAGAGAGACTAGCAAACAGCCTAGGGAAAAGCCGGACGAAAAAGGTGCCGGAAGAAGCTATTGAAAGCCTAGGCATAGACTCAGATACGGACTACGGGGGGAAGCTGGGAGAAATCTCTAAGGTCGAAAGCGAAAGTGAAAGCTAGAACAAACAGACTCGGACGCGGACTGTGGGGAGAGGCCAGGAGAAATGAGGGAGGAATATTGTTGGAAGAAAACTTAGGGAAACATACCGGGTAGAGAAAAGTGTTAGGGAAATTGAAGCCGTGGGGGGCAGGCCAAGGCGGACACGAAAGCCACTTTGGGATTCTCAAGTTAGCCTGGGAATAGGGGGGCGAAAAGTTGAAACCAGAAGCTGAAACGTAAGCCAGATTGGGATCCGTCTGATTAGCCCGGGGAGCAAAGGACGGGAAGCCAAACCGTGGGGCGGAGACGTACGCTGGGTTGAATTCGCCAGGCTAGCCCGGGGAACTTAGATTGAATGCTAGTGGCGGACACGTAAGCTACGCTGTGTTACTCGCGGAAGCCACCGCGTGCAGAGAGAGCACGGGGCGTGAATAGATAGGGAACGGGGCTGGCGTAGGCCGTGGTTCAGACGCGAAAGGGTTAAGCGTGGAGACCGCGGAGCGCGCGAAGCCGAGCCGCGCAAAGCCGGGAAGCTGCGCAGATGAGAGAGGCGCGCGGGCTGAAGCGGCGCAGAGCCGGGAACCCGCCGGCGGGGCGAGGTGCCGGAAAGCCGCAGGGATAAGAGAAACAGAAGTTTAGAAGTAAAAGAGAAATGGGAATGCTGGAAGATAGAAGTAAAATGGGAGAAATAGGAATGCCCGGAGATAGAGAAATAGAGAAATAGAAAGGCCTCCCTACAACACTGCACTGTGAGAGCTTGGATTCGGTCTGCCTGATTAAGTGAGGCGATGAGCACCTGGGCGGCTAGCAGCTTATGCGCCGCAGGTCACCGAAGACAGGCACGAATTAACATCAGTAAGGCTTCCCCACAATACCGCAATTAGGAGGCTTGGATTCGGTCTGCCTGATTAAGGCGGTAAGCGCCAGCAAGCAGCTCGACCAGAGTATGAGCTGCAGGTCACCGAAGATAGGCACAAACCAACACTAATAAGTCTCCCCCACAATACGGCAATGAGAAGGCTTGGATTCGGTTTGCCTGATAGGTTTTGTAAGCACCTGCAGGCAGTTCTAGCAGAGTAGAGCATGCGCTGCAGGGCACCGAACACAGGCATGCATCAGTGCCTAGAAACCTCCTCACAACATGGCGAAGAGAGGACCCGGATTCGGTTTGCCTGATTGATAGGACTTGTAAGAACCTGTGGCAACTCTAGCAAGCAGAGCAGAGTGTGTGCCGCGGGACACCGAAGACAGGCGCGTATCAACGCCAAAAAAAATAAAAAGAAAGGGGGATCTGTGGGGAGCAATTCGGATTATACTGTTACTGGAATTAAGACTTATTCTATGCATCTGCTCTCCTACAATATGGCGCTGGGAGAGAAGAAAGAGGCTTCTACACAGCTGCCTCCAGTTCAGCCAATAAACTGTAGGACTTGCTCCTGATTGGAGAGCAGCGTACTCGGCGTGTGGGCAGCCGAGTTAGGATTGGTGGAAGAGGACTATAAAGGAGGAGAGAGACGGCATGCACCAGGGAACATCTAAGGGGAACATCTAGCTGAAGGAACACCTGTGCAGCCCCCGAGAAGAGCCGGCCGGCGGTGTGCCGCTCCCCTGCGGAAGTGGGGAATGTGGCCAGGGGGAACTGCCCTTCCACGGAGGTGGAAGGGATAGTAGCCAACCCAGGAAGAACCAGCAGCAAACCCGGGGAGGGCCGAGCAGACGAAAGAACAGCGCAGGGTCCTGTGTCGTTCCTCCACGAAGAGGGGGAGCGACATAATGGTGCCGTGACTCAGATATGAAGCCTAGGCAGGGTTTAGTGTTGCTCCTCCATGAAGAGGGGGAGCGACACAAACAAAGACACAAGCCTCTCCATCCCAAAAATCTGTCCTTACATTTGGCCCTAGAGTTGCACCAAGGTATAGGCATAATTAATACATCATACGAATATAATACAAATTTTCTATACAAATATACATCCAGCAATCAAACACAATAATATTCAATATGTTTTAAGGATAAATTGAAACACATCTGAGGGAACTAACCTCTTATTATCTGTAATTATTACATTTCTGCAGGTGTGTGGAATCTTAACTACTTGCGGCATATTTTGACTTACATTTTTTTTTGTAAAGCAAACCAAGCATAATCTGCTCAAGCATTCCTATCAATAATAGGGGTAGAGTTAGTACATAAAACAAAAACAAAATGGGTAGTCCGGACACTTTGTCACCACAATTTCTCATTGCACATAGTAATATTAACTTTATAACAGAGAACATTTACTTCAAATGAAATATTTAAATGCAAGGTGAGGGCTGTCCAGTGTACACTGATCTATATTTTTTACTCCCAGTGTTTCTTATTCACAACAACCTCTTCAGCAAACCAAGGACTAATTGTTTCAACAGCACTGATAAGCTGCTCTACGGTTTGTTTCTTTAACCCTATTCTCTATATCTGCAACAAAGTTTTCACAGCCTTTTTCACAGCTCGCTTTGTTTCTTTAAATGCACATTTAAGTTTTTTCTGAGGAAATCCCAATGTTGCTTATTCACGACTCCTTTTGCGAACCAAGGACTGACTATTTTTATAGCATTAATGAACTGTTCTATGGCTCGCCTTGTTTAACCCTATTCCCTGTATCTGTAATGGAGTCTTTATAGTCTTTTTTTTTTTTCTTTTTTCTAGGGGCCGATTTAGGGAGAGTCAATGGATGATACCGCGGCGGCAGTTCGTCCTCTAAGGACAAATTCGCTAGCCTAGTCAAACTGGGATATAAATGAGATGGCCCCCTCGAGCACAGGGGTGCCCTCGATGGGGGATGGTCCTTCACTGAATTTTTCTCAGTCTCATCCGGTGGCTGGTCCCCACAGGGACCTTCGTCTGTCTGTTTCCTGTCCCACTGACTACCACAGTCACTAGACTGACTATCATGCCGAGACTCCTCCTGAACCTTCTCTAGGAGCTCGCATCCTTCATCAAGTAAAAGCCCTATGCTCTCAGTGGGGTCCTGAAGTGTCTGGTCAGTGAGTTGCCATAATCTAAGTATTTCTGCCGGCTCTCCGGCTGCTCTCAACTGTCTCCCTACTCTCCGCCACTGTTGCTCATCTAATTCGCCACCTTCCACAAACCGTGGTGACGTCTTGGCAACAGCCCTAGTTAATGCACATACTGTGGCCGCCTTAACGGGCATCCCCGCAGCTTTTAACAAGCAGCTCAACAGCATGTGCAACCTAGTGGTGGATGGAGAATAGTCCATTTGGAGGTAAAAAGGAAGTTTCTGAGTATTGTCCATTTTGAGGTAAAAAGGAAGTTTCCGCCTATTTCCTGGCGTTTCTTAACACTTTGTACTCCCGCCTTTTAAGGGATTCCTTTACCCTTTTTACTGGCGCTTAATTTCCCCGTCTTTCCTCGACGGAACCGCGGTTTCTATTCTTTCCCCAGCTGGATTTCCGTGCACTCGCACGCTTACCTTTTGTTCCTTACCTATTCCTGCGTGTAGAAAGTGGTCCGGATCCGAGTCACGGCACCACTTGCCACTCCCTTGCCCGCAAAGGAACGACACTGTTCGCAGCTTATTGGTCTTCAGCAGACTTTTAATGGGAAAATAACAGGGACAGAGAAAGAATGAAAGGAGGAGAGTGGACAGGAAAGCCCCATCCTTTCTCAGCACACAGCTTATATACAAAATCTGGCCAATTGCAAGCGGGCTCAAGTCCATGCACGGAACACTCCAATCCGCTGTCTGTTCACGCAGTGTGCACGCTGTCCTCGGGCCAATCAGATGAGGTGTCACGCAGCAGGCAGGCTCACCGCGTGGTCCTCGGCGCCATCTTGTTGTTTACAACATTCTCAACTCCTCTGGAACGTCCCGACCATGGGAAAGCATTGCCCTAACTGAAACTAGCAACATTCGCCTTGTGATAAAGACACAGCAACAGCTATCAGACCGACCTTGACGTGGGGGCTCCATGGCTGCGCATCCCATGGAGCCCCACATTAAGGGTGCCAGGATGGGGAGAAGGGGACACCTGGGTCTAGTGGCTTTTACCTTTAGAAGAAAGATTTGCTCATAAAGAAAACGAGGCATGAAAGCCCTTCAGTGACTGAATGCTTGCTTCTCTCATCCCAGCCCGCTATGCTGGGGCCACCCTGCTTTTCCAAAGGCTGGGATGTCTCCAGTCTGACTGCTAGACACTGTGAGGGCCCCATACCCAGGGAGCAGGAAGCTCTCATGCTGACCTCTCTGTTCAGCACCTCTGCCGTCTGCTACACTTTGTCTTTTCTGGCCAAACCCATGTGCTTCAAGACTAGCTGGGGATTCAGGTCCACATGGGCTGTCCAGGCCCCCTCCAGGCCATAGCCTCAAGCTACTGTCCAAGTCTCCCCCTGGAACACCACACCAGGAAGCCAGAGCAGCACATTCTTCAGTATTCTATTTACCACCAATCTGTTATTTCATGGACCAGGAGGAATGTTGTTCCTGACCCTCTTGCCTCCCTTCCTCTGGGAGCATAGATTGGGTTTGCCCTCCTGATTCCTTTGTGAGAAGGAGCTGGTAAGTTAGGAAGTTATCAGCCTAAACTTTGGCAGGGAGGAACGGTTGGAGGAACAGGGCAAGTGGAAAAAGAAAGCCAGAATTTGATTAAATACATTTCCATCCCACAGAAAAGCCAGCTGTGTTTTTTCATCACCAATGATTGCTATTTAGCCTACCATGTCCAAGTGAGCTGTGAGGGGCTGCAGTGCGGAAAAGAAGAAATATCTGCATTCAGAGCTTGGGTCCCTCTGATTTGGCAAGCAATTGATTTAGCTTTATACTGGTGGACTCAAATAGTGGCCAGCTCTTCAAGCTAAACAAGGTCAAAGTCAGGGGCTCTAAGAATGACATTTGCATGTACCATCTAGACTCTTACAATAAAGGTGAAAGTGTATGAAAATCTCTGCTTCCTTCACAGACCTGAGACGAATTCTGTGTTGTGGTTCAATCACTTGGACACCTATATTTTGCTGTGTCTCTCTGCTCCCAGAATTGCGGGATATCAGTAGTCACCAAGCAGGAAGAGATAGGCCTGTCATCCTGTACAGTTTCTCTGCAGTGCCTGTTCCTGGCAGATAACTGCTTCAGTATGGGGTTGTCTTGGCATATCCTGTGATTGACCTGGGGACAGAATACTGGCAGTCAAATGGGACTCAGCCCGCCATTTGTTCTCAGGCTCCTTTGCTGTTAAATGTTTGTCATTTTGAGCAGATCTTAATTGTTGAGCTACGTTCTGAAAATCTTGGCCTGGTCTGAGGGCCACCAGCCTGTTCTCTTATTAAGGCAAGACTTCTGTACAAATCCTGCACGGTCAACACCTGATGGTGTCAGGGATGACGGGAAGGAGCTAGCTGCAGTGTATATGGCAGTATGCAAGTCATGTGAATGAGTGTACCTGTCTGCCCTTGCACATGTTTGAGGAAAATGGAGTTCTATGCATGGGATCTGGGACTGTTGCTGGAGAGTGTGGAATCTCCACCATGCCCATCTTCTCAGAACCATTCCCTTCCCGTAACTGCCTCCAAGGACAACATTCTCAGTGTGAACTTCTCAGGACAGGTGCCCCTAGGGAGCAGCACAATCACTCAAGGCCATCTGTTTGAGACTTTAATGTCTCTCTTGAAGCTAAATTCTTCAGAGTACCACCTGGAGTAGTGTGGACTTAACTAAGTGGGTCAAGAATGGGTTATGTCTGCTTCTATGGAAACATATTTTAGGTTACCCTTGTTGTACACAGATCCAGTACACAGCCAGTCTTCTGGCTACTATTAGGATAAGGTACTAAGTGTTCCATGTGGAGAAATTTCAGTACACTCATTTCACTTAAATTGTGGGTGTAGAGAGCTTATCCTTTGATTTCTTTCCTTTCATTGCTGAGAGAGATCTTCCATCCACTGGTTCACTCCCCAGTTGGCTACAACAGCTGGAACTGTGCCAATCTGAAGCCAGGAGCCAGGAGCTTCTTCCAGGTCTTCCACGTGGGTGCAGGGGCCCAAGGACTTGGATCATCTTCTACTGCTTTCCCAGGCCATCCATAGCAGAGAGCTGGATTGGAAGTGGAGTGGCCGGGACTTGAACCGGCGCCCATATGCGTGGTGCTTTGGCATAGAAGGCTAAGCTTCTGCCTGTGGCACCTCATCCCATATGGGTGCTGGTTCATGTGCCAGCTGCTCCTCTTTTGATCCAGTTCTTTGTTTAAGATCTGTGAAAGCAGTGTAACATGACCCAAGTGCTTGGGCCCCTGCACTCACAAGGGAGGCCCCTAAGAAGCTCCTGGCTCCTTGCTTCCGATTGGCTCAGTTCTGGCCCTTGCGACCATTTTGGGAGTGAACCAACCAATGGAACACCTTTCTCTTTGTCTTTCCCTCTCTCTGTAACTCTACCTCTCAGATAAATAAATAAATTTATTTTTAAAGAAGAGCAATGGGAATAATTACCATCACATTGCTATAAGTTTTCCTCTTATCATTTCTTTTTGTTCATCTCAAAAGTATTATATGGTGTTTTCATTTTCATATGTTTCAAGAGATTTTTTAAATTGTGCATTTTTATTCCATTTGAAAGGCAGAAAGATAATCAGAGAGAGATCTTCCATCTGCTAGTTTACTCTCTAAATGCCTACAATTGCCAGGACTGGGTCAGGCTAGTTAGGAGTCTGGAACTCAATCCCACTGTTCCACACTGATGCCAGGAAACCAAATAGTTGGCCATTATCTGTTGACTCCCCTCATTGAGCATTAGCAAGAAGATGGATCAGAAGTGAAGGGCTAGTACTGAAGCCAGGCACTCTGATGCAGGATGCAGGTTTCCCAATGGCAACTTAACTGCTATACTAAGCATCTGCCCTGAATCAAGATCATTTTTAGCTTTCCTTTTAAGTTCTTCTTTGGACTAATAGTTGTTTAGATTATATTGTTTATTTTCCTCCATATTTGTGAATTTTCCATGATTATGTTTGTTAATTTCCATACCATTGTGATCTGAAAAGATATTTGATATGATTTCATTCTTCTTAAATTTGGTAAAACTAGTGTTGTGATATAATCTATGATCTGTCCTGGGGAATTTTCCATGTGTACTGTAGGTGAATTAGCATTTTGTGTCTCTTGAATTAAATGTTCTATACAATTTGCTCTAACACACAGTTTGACTCTTCTTTATTTTCAGTCTGGTTGATCTGTCTGTTGTTAAAAATTGAGTTTTTAAAATCCTTCCACTAACTGCATACCAGTCTATGTTTCCTTTTAGTTCTCCTAATGTATGTCTTATATATGTGAGTATTAGGATATCTGACACATGTATACATTAAGTTTTATATCCTGTTGATTAATTGATAACTTTATCATTATAAAATGGCCTTTGTGGTTTGATACTGTTCTGTAACCTTTTTACTTGGTTGTTTAAATATTCCTGAATGTTATTCCTGATATAGTCAAATTTCCTCTGCTTTTCTATTGCTCTTCAATGCCAGTTGTAATAAAGAAGAAATTCTGACGTCTATAGATCTTATTCATATTCTGTTCCTTTGTTCTTAAGCTATCACTATAATGAGTGGTCTCATATGTTAGTTCCAAGTGGTGATAACTGCTCTTATTGTTATTATAAATTGAGCAGTTTCCTGGTTAATCTTAAAATATATGAGGCATCTTTTAAAAGTCTGTAGAAAATGTGTATTATGAAAAACTTCTTGGGGCCTGCGCTGTGGCGCAGCAGGTTAAAGCCCTGGCCCAGAGTGCCGGCATCCCATATGGGTGCCGGTTCGAGTCCCAGCTGCTCCTCTTCCGGTCCATCTCTCTGTTGTGGCCTGGGAAAGCAGTGCAAGATGGCCCAAGTCCTTGGGCCCCTGCACCTGCATAGGAGACCGGGAAGAAGCTCCTGGCTCCTGGCTTTGGATCGGTGCAGCTCCAGCTGTTGCGGCCATCTGGGGAGTGAATCAGTGGTTGGAAGACTTCTCTCTCTCTCTCCCTCTCTCTGTAACTCTGTCTTTCAAATAAATAAATAAATATTTAAAAAAAAAAAAAAGAAAGAAAAACTTCTTGTTATGAGCTGCCAAGGCTATGGAAACCTTTTGAGTCCACAAACTCCGTCATTATTTAGTCAGGGTCAAAAGAGCCTCAGGTGATCACTCATAAATAAGAGTGTCAATTGTTAAATCAACAACAGGAGTCACTGTGCACTTGCTCTGCATGTAGGACCTCTGTCCTTAATAAGTTGTACTATGAGAATTAATGGTAAAACTAGTCCTCAAGCAGTACTTTATACTTTGTGTGTCTGTGGGTGCAAACTGTTAATATCTTTATTTAGTATAGAGTTGATCTTCTGTATATAAAGATAATTAAAAATGAATCTTAAGAATGGGATGGGAGAGGGAGTAGGAGGTGGGACAGGACTTGGGGTGGGAGGCTGGGTATGGGAGGAAGAACTGCTATATCCCAAAATCTGTACCTATGAAATTTATACTTATTAAATAAAAGCTTTATAAAAAAAAAGAAAGAAAAACTTCTATGAATTTAAAAACTTTGGTATCAAAATAAGCATCATTTAGTTTTCTTTTGCATATACTTTAAAATGTTTTATATACTTATTTTCATTTTATTTGAAAGGTAGAGAAACAGAAAAACAGAGAGAGTGAGAGAGATCTTCCATCTGCTGGTTCACTAGCTAAATGTCTGCGACTGCCCAGGCTGGGCCAAGGCTGAAAGCAAGAGCCCTGAACTCAATCTGTGTCTTCCATGTGGCTGGCAGGGACCCAAGTACATGAGCCGCCAACACTGCCTCTTATGGTACACATCATTGAGAAACTGAAATCAGAAGTGAAGCTGGGATTCACACCCAGACATTCTGATATGGGATATGGGTGACCCAAGCAACATTTTATTCACAAACTGCCCTTCCTAGATAACAAAAGCAATGTATTGGGCAGACAGAAAAAAAAAATCACGGGATAGTTTTGGGGCTCAGTGTCAGGCTAATAAAACCCATCATTGAGCACATCCTGGTGTTCATTCTGCACGGGGCCATGCCTGTAGAGCCTCTGTGCCTGCTTTAGTGCCAAGAATTCTGTGATCCCTTTTAAGCAGCTTATTATCCCAGACAGCATCACCAGTGGCTGGCAGCTGTGACATCAGGCAGTGAGCCCACTTGAGCTTCATGCAGGCTGTAGCAGGGTGAGCTTTGGTCCTCACGCCAGGCTGCACCAGTCTTGGTGGTATTCTACTGATTTTTTTTTTTTTTTGGTCTGGTTGTTGCTTCAATTACTGAGAGAAGAGTACTGATTCTTAAATTGTGGATTTATTGATTTCCACATTTCATTTTGGTATTTTTTATGTAATTGGAGGTTCTGCTTTTACACACATATACACTTATGATTGTTATATCATATTGTTGTATGGCCCATCATTGTGAAGTCTCTCTATCTGTGGTAAAGCATGTTCTGTTAGAATTTGTTGTATCTGCCCCTAAAATAGCCACATGAACTTTTTATGGTTAACGTTTGCATAGTGTATCATTTTTCAACACTTTATATTCAGGCTATCTCTTTGTATTTGAGGTGTGGTATGTGTGACAATACTTTAAAGTGCCTTGTGCTTTTCGTGAGCTCTGAAAATCTCTGTTTTGATTACTTGGCTTATTTACAATTAAACTATTAATATGAGGAAATCATGTCTGCCATTTGGATACTCATATTCTGTTTATTTCATCTGATTTGTTCTTTTGTTTTTCCTTCTTTTCCATTAATCAAGTATTTCTCTTTTAAAATTTAGTTTTTTTATTGCAATTTTTATTTCAAAGGTGGAATGAAAGAGAGAGAGAGAGAGATTTTCTGTTTTCTTATTCACTGCACAAATAGCTGGAGCTGGACCAGGCCAAAGCTAGGAGCCAGAAATTCCACGTGTACCACCCATGTGAGTGACGGGAACCCAAGTACCTGAGCCATCATCAGCTGCTGCCCGGGGTATGTAATAATATCACTAATTAGTGGGAAACTGGATTGGAAGTAAAGGAGGGATTTGATGCTTAAAACTCTGATATGGGATATAGACATCCCAAGCTACAGTTCAGCCAACTTTATCACAATGCTTACCCTTGTTTGCAATACAAAGAGACTGAGAAAGAGAGAGGGAGAAAAAGAGAGATCTTCTTTCAGCCGGTTTATTCCCCAAATATCTGCCATAGCATAGGCTCAACAAGACTGCATCTTGGATCCTGGAACTTAATCTGGAACCCCTATAAGGATGGCAGAGACCCAAGTACTTAAGCCATCACTACTGCCTCCCAGTGTGTGGTATGCAAGAAGCTGTAATCAGAAGCAGAGCCAGGATAATGCGATATCTTTTTTTTTTTTTTTGACAGGCAGAGTTATACAGTGACAGAGAGAGAGAGAGACAGAGAGAAAGGTCTTCCTTTTGCCATTGGCTCACCCTCCAATGGCCGCCGCAGCCAGCGCATCGCGCTGATCCGAAGCCAGGAGCCAGGTGCTTCTCCTGGTCTCCCATGCGGGTGCAGAGCCAAGCACTTGGGCCATCCTCCACTGCACTCCAGGCCACAGCAGAGAGCTGGCCTGGAAGAGGGGCAACCGGGACAGAATCCGGCGCCCTGACCGGGACTAGAACCCGGTGTGCCGGCGCCGTGGCTCAATAGGCTAATCGCCGGCCCCAAGCGATATCTTAACTGGTGAACCAAAACCCTGCCCCATAGTAAAATATTTTTAATATTTTTATTAAAGATATTTAATATTCCATTTGGCTGCTTCTGTTGACTTTTTAGCTCTATCTTAAAGACAGAACTGTATTTCCTCCTAGACAAATATGTGGGAATTCTGCACCCCAAGTGACTGTATACCTCAAGGACATTCAAATGGGTAAATAAGGTTAATTGAAGTCATATGGATGAGTCCTAATCCAAAATGATTGGTGTCTTTGTGGGAAAGGTACCAGGTGTGGGAGCACACACAGAGAAGACTATGTGAGGATGTGATGAGAAGTTGGCCAATTTCAAACCAAAGAGAAAGACCTCAGGACAAACAAAGCCAAAGGGAGATTGTTCTAGGATGTTCAGTCTCCTGAACTATGAGAGAATGAATTTCTGTTTAAGCCATGCAGTCTGTAGTACTTTGTTGGGATAGCCATAGCAAAAAAAAAAAAAAAAAAAAAAAAAAAAAACAAGCAAAAACCGAAAGAGAAAAAAAGCACTACATTATTTCATTAATTTTCTTTGGTTAACACATAATGTGCATTAAATTTTTACTCGTTTCTCTATTCATTTACAATATAAATCTTCAGTTTCTCACAATATGCTTGGTGTGGTATACTGCTTCACATAAATTGTAGGGACTTCTAGAAACAATAGTTCCCTTTATGATTGCTATGCTTTGTACTGTTTTATAGATGTTTTTAGACATTAAATCACTGTACAATAGAAGCCTCCCAGATGGTGTAATAATTTTTGCTTCAAATAGTCATTTCACTTTAAAAGAAATTAAGACTATAAAAAGGTATAAACTGATTTATGTCTACCTGTAGCTTTACAACTTATCATGATCCTAAATTTTCCTGCAACCCACGTTAGAATCTGACAGTTTTCTTGCAGCCCGGGGATTTTCCTTTAGCATTGTTGCAGTGCATGTCTTGCTAGTGATAAATAATCCATTTTTTAATCTGAAAATGTCTATTTCACCCTTACATTTTAGAATACATTCACTGAATACAAGGTCATGGGTTGAACTCTCATTGCCTCGTTTTATTTATTTATTTTTTTGGGGGGGCACACGGCTATAATCATGGTTCCCAGTTCTTATCCTCTCTTAGACCTAGGGCTCGGGCACTTGTTAACTTGCAAGGGCTGCCTTATATCCTGTTCCTGGAATCCTTGTGAGGCTTTTCAAGCCTCCTGACAGCCAGCTGCATGCAAAAGTGTGTGAGCATATTGTTGCTAAAGTTGTACTTATGAAATGTATGAAGTATGTATTCCTTAAATAAAAGGTTTCTGGGGGAAAAAAGTGCATGAGCATTGAAGGGTGTAACTCAGTGATTAAGAAGATGGACTCAGCCGGCACCGTGGCTCACTAGGCTAATCCTCTGCCTTGCAGCGCCAGCACGCCGGGTTCTAGTCCTGTTCGGGGCGCCGGATTCTGTCCCGGTTGCCCCTCTTCCAGGCCAGCTCTCTGCTGTGGCCTGGGAGTGCAGTGGAGGATGACCCAAGTTCTTGGGCCCTGCACCTGCATGGGAGACCAGGAGAAGCACCTGGCTCCTGGCTTCGGATCAGCGTGATGTGCCAGCCGTGGCGGCCATTGCAGGGTAAACCAACGGCAAAAGGAAGACCTCTCTCTCTCTCACTGTCCACTCTGCCTGTCAAAAAAAAAAAAAAACTCTTTTTTTTTTTGAAAGATATATTTGTTTATTTATTTGAAAGGCAGAGTTACAGACAGGCAGAGGCAGAGAGAGAGAGAGAGAGAAAGAGAGAGAGAGATACAGTCTTCCTTCTGTTGGTTCACTCCCCAACTGGCCGCAGTGGCTGGCACTGCGCTGATCCAAAGCCAGGAGCCAGGAGCTTCTTCTGGGTCTCCCATGTGGGTGCAGGGGCCCAAGGACTTGGACCATCCTCCACTGCTTTCCCAGGCTACAGAAGAGAGCTAGATCGGAAGTGGAGCAGCTAGGACTCGAACTGGTGCCCATATGGGATGCTGGCACTGCAGGTGGCAGCTTTACCTGCTATACCACAGCGCCGGCCCCAGAAGAAGAACTCTTAAGCCAAGCTACCTGCATTCAAATCCCAGCACTGCCAATTACTTTGGAAGGGAGGGAGATAGCCCAGAGAGGTGTTTCCAGTTTTTTTGTACTCACAGTTCCCTGGGAATGAAGAACAGGTCTGGGAAGCCATTCAGGGAAGCTCTGTGTTGGTCATGAAACAGAGATGGATGAGCTGTAGGCATGCACTTTATTATGGATTCAGGTTTAGGATTGGTAAACTTGAATGATTTCTGTGGTCTCTTTAGCATAGGGACTATGACTGGCCTTTCATGTACCTGGACATAGGGTGATAGGGTGGGAGTGTAAGGTAAGCAAGTCCCATAAGGAAGATGGCTTTGGGTGGAGTCTTATATGGCTGCTCAAGAAGGGGAATGTACTCAAGAACATATTTTAGGATTTTTTTTTAATATTTGACAGGTAGAGTTATAGATAGTGAGAGAGAGACAGAGAGAAAGGTCTTCCTTCTGTTGGTTCACTCCCGAAATGGCCACCATGGCCAGCGCTGCACCGATCTGAAGCCAGGAGCCAGGTGCTTCCTCCCGGTCTCCCATGCGGGTGCAGGGCCCAAGCACTTGGGCCATCCTCCACTGCACTCCTGGGCCACAGCAGAGAGCTGGACTGGAAGAGGAGCAACTGGGACTAGAACCTGGCACCCATATGAGATGCTGGTGCTGCAAGGCAGAGGATTAACCAAGTGAGTCACGGCACTGGGCCCCCCAAGAACATATTTTAACATATTTTAAAACTCTGTTCCAATGTACCATCTGATGTCCTGACATTGATTTTTGACATTGCTTTTTTAACTTGATTATTTATGATATTTGAATAGTAGGGAAGAATTTCAGAGAATAGGAATTAAGTTGAGTAGGGATTACATATAGTAGAAAAGTATTTTCTTATGAGGATGAATGGAAGAAAAGAAATAGAAGTCTTTGTAAGCCAGCCTATAACTAACTTTCCCATTTTTATAACATTAACCAAGAAAACAAATCTGAAGTTCCTGGGACTTCCAACAATATCATGGTGGAGTTGTTAAGTGTGTTAAAAGTATGATTGGTGTATATGCCATGTCAAACTGCTAGGTCCAACAGTTGTTTTGTAGGGGATGAGCAGTTTCAATTGTATCTAAGACTTCTTCTTTTTTTTTTTTCCTGAGAACCATCTATTTAATTAACTGCATAGTGAATTATTGTGATTATTTTCAGTTTCTTGACAATCTTTCTTAGTATCCAATAGGATTTCTAATTTATTTTCCATTGTGTTTTTCAACACTTAACTAATTTTACCAACTTAATTGGCATGGGGATGATAGCTACAGGAGTTAAAAGAGAAATTTTATAATGACACAGGTCATCTTAGCATCTGCAAATCTTCCCGAGAACATAAATGATAATGTGACTGATTCACAGAATATCAAAGCTGACTGAATTGAATTCTTTTGACTGCCATTTTGTCATCACTATGTGACATCATTTATGTCACATTATGCCATCATTATGTGTGGCAATTACATGCATCATTCACAAGTCACTGTTAATGCAAGTATCAGAATTGCATGATCCCTAGAGAACACTTCTGGCATGGCCATGAGAACATCTCTACATATCTACATTCAAAATTTTTTGGAAATTGGGGCCGGCGCTGTGGTGCAGTGGGTTAATGGCCCAGCCTGCAATGCTGGTATCCCATGTGGGTGGCTGGTTCAAGTCCTGGCTGCTCCACTTCCAATCCAGCTCCCTGCTAACGTGCCTGGGAAAGCAGCAGAAGATCACCCAAGTGCTTGGGTCCCTGTACCCACATGGGAGGCTCAGAAAAAGTTTCTGGCTCCTGGCTGGGATTGGTTCAGCTCCGGCCATTGCAGCCATTTGAGGAGTGAACCAGCAGATTGAAGACCTCTCTCTCTCTCTCTCTCTCTCTCTCTCTCTGCTTCTCTCTGCCTTTCAAATAAATAAAATAAATCTTAAAAAAATTTTTTTTGGAAATTATTTTAAAACAAAACAAAAAGCCAACTACTTATTCTCTGGAAATATTCCCAAGGACTTAAAGCTAAAGAAATGCCTTTTTTTTTTTATTAAATGTTTGTTTGTTTGTTTTAAAGGCAGAGTTACAAACAGGGTGAGACAGAGTGAGACAGAGATCTTCCATCCATTGGTTCATTGCCCAGATTTCCGCAGTGGCTGGGTCTGAGTCGGGCTGAAACCTGGAG